ACTCCTATGTCGGCCTCTGGCGATGAGGGGAGTAGTGGGACGTCGCCTTCGGCGCCGGCCAAGGGCATCGCCAGTGGCCGATGTGATAAGGGGCAGGTCGACGTGGGAGTGAAGTCGACGTCGATAGGGGAGGAGCAGGCCTGGGAGCAGCAGCCGACAAGGAAGCAGGCAGCAGTGAAGCCGACTTCGGAGCAGTCGACAACCAGGCAGTCGGCCGGGAAGCCGACCACAGGGGAGAGGTCGACCAGTAAGTCGATCGAGAAGCAGCAGGATGACGAGGGCAGTGAAGACGGTGATGACGGAGTGGACGCCGGGGAGTCCACCTCGAGTGACGTGGTGGAGGTTCGGCTTGAACCCCGGAAGTCGGATCGAGTTCGTAGGCCGCCGGACTTCTTCGTCCCCGCTGCCTTCACCACGGTGTACGACGTGGACGATGACGACGACCTGCTGTACGACGATGCCGAGGAGGATGAGGAGTTTCCGGAGCTCGACCCTGACATGCTAGCCGACCCAGAGCACCGTTGGGACATCTCGACGATGACGGTGAAGGAGGCGTTGGCGAGCTGGAAGGGCCCGGCGGTGAAGGCCGCCATGGAAGAGGAGATCCGCAGCCTCATCAACATGGGCACTTGGGAACTGGTCGAACGCCCGCCGGGGGTGAACGCGATGAAGAACCGGTGGGTGTTGACGACGAAGTACCACGTCGACGACACCGTCGAGCGCGAGAAGGCGAGGCTGGTCGTGAAGGGCTTCACCCAGGTGTATGGCGTCGACTACGACGAAACGTTCGCGCTGGTGGGCAGCTACGTCACCCTGAGGATCTTCCTCAGCATCGTTGCCGTCCACAACCTCAACCTGATGCAGCTCGACATGAAGAATCCCTTCTTGCAGAGCAAGCTCGACCGGGTGCTCTACATGTCTTAGCCAGACTTCTTCAATGACGAAACCGGCCGGGTGTGCAAGCTGCTGAAGAGCCTGTACGGGCTGAAGCAGTCGTCGCTGCTGTGGTACTTGGCACTCAACGACGTGCTGGTCGGTGCCAGGTGGAAGAAGAGCCAGGTCGACGAGGCTCTCTACTTCAATGTCGACAAGGACGGAGTGGCCTGCTGGGTGCTGGTCTACGTCGACGACCTGCTCCCCGCCAGCAGCAGTACCGAGATGCTGAAGGAGCTGAAAGAGCTGCTGTAGTCCGCCTTCGAGCTGCGTGAGATCTCGCCGGTGGAGAAGTACCTCGGGCTGGAGATCATCCGCGACAAGTCGGCGGAGAAGCTGTGGCTGCACCAGCAGGGCTTCGCCGACAAGCTGCGAAGGCGCTTCATCGATGAGGAGCAGACCGGGCTGTCAAACACTATATGTGTTATTATTGTGTAGGCTATAGTGGGTTAGCCTTTAGGGGGTACACAAAGTTAGGGTTTCCTACTTGTACTCCAACTTTCATAGTGCAATCACTTCTTCTTCATAACATGGAATCAGAGTAGGTCCTCCGCTAGGACCGATTCCTAGGGCCCACCACTACTGCTACCTACTAGCGCCCTCGTGCGCCCTACTGTCGGAGCGCCCTCAAGCGCCTCCCCCCTAGCGCCCTCGTGCGCCTCGTTTTCACGGCCCCCTAAGGCCCCGCGACCCGCGACCCGCCCCCCCCCTCTAAGCGACCCGCGCGCCGCCCCTCAGAGGCCCCGTCGACCCCGCGCGCCGCCCCTTAGAGGCCCTGCTGGCCCCGCTTAGAGGCCCCGTCGGCCCCGTTTGCCCCGCGCACCCACCCCTTAGTGGCCCCGTCGGCCCCGTCGACCCCACGTGCCGCCCCTTAGCAGCCCCGCTGGCCCCGTCGACCCCGCGCATCGCCCCCCTTAGAGGCCCCAGCCGGCCCCGTCGACCCCACAGGCCGCCCCTTAGCGGCCCCGCTGGCCCCGTCGACCCCACGCGCGACCCCCCCTTAGAGGCCCCGTCGGCCCCGTCTGTCCCTTAGCGGCCCCGTCGGCCCCCCTCTCGACCCGCGCGCCGCCCCTTAGCACCCCGCTGCGACACCCACGAGCCGCCCAGCCCGAACCGAGCCGCCCGGACCGAGCCGCTCAGCCCGAACCGAGCCGCGCCGCCCGAACACAGCCGAGCCACCCTACCCGAGCCGAGCCGCCCTACCTAAACCGAGCCGCGCCGCCCGTACTGGACCGAGCCGCCCTACCTGAGTCGCCCTGCCTACTGTTTTTAGGGTGCAACTACTGCTACTCTACTGCTGCTATGGCTAGCCCTCCTGTGCTAGCTTTCGATGCTCAGGGCCGCCCAGTGAGGTTCGATACCTGGCTAGATCACCTACACCTCTTCCTACAGCTCACTCCCAAGGAGGACATCTCACTGTACGATCACGCCCTAGTCCATGCTACTGCTCCTGCTGCTACTGCTGACAGCACTACCTGCTCACAGTGGCAGACTTGTGACGCCCACGCTCGCTTCGCTATTCGCAACTCCCTACCGATAGACGAGCACGAGCACTTTGGCCAGCACAAGACTGCACAGGCACTGTAC